TGTGACTAGCAAAGATAATTAAAACTTTAAAAAACAACACTGGAAGAATTTGGTTTTTAGACATCAAAACTTACCAGATAAATTCTTAGTCTTCATATAAAGACAAGGTTTCTCTAACAGAGATGTAACAACTTTGCATAGCTGTTCTTCCCAAGACAGGAAGCCATTATTCATAGACTGGTAAACAATTCTGATTTCATGAACTGTAGGTGGCTACCATGCAGGAGTAAACTAAGCGATTTTAAAAACTTATAAACCTAAAATAGGTCCTTGACATTTATGAAAGGATAAGTCCTCAAACCTAATAAATGTAAATTCGAAACAATACTATAGCATATATTTCTGTCATGAAGTGAAGTCAGGTATAATGGAAAATTTTAATTTGCCTCTTTACATCCTCTGACTTACTGCCTATGAATGAAGAAAAGAACTCATGAGTGGCCTTGAAAGCCTACTCATAAGCTGCACTAGTCACTGCCACACATCTGTGCCTCAGCCACATATTAAGCCGTGAAGTTGTAATACTTCAGAATCTATAGCAAATATTCATAACTTTTTATGAATATTTGGTCAGGGACTGCCGCATGAATATTCTACATCAACGTTAGACAAACTCCAACACACAGCCTATTACGTAGTTAAAGTTTCTTAGAATAATTTATCTTAGTCATCATTAAAATGGAGGGAAACATATTTTGGGATAAGGGCTAGGAAGCTATACCAACAACACATGTAGAAGGATTCATTTACATTACCTGTTCTTGCTTCTCCAGCCACTTGTCCACCATCGGGTGACTGGCACTCAGAGATGAGCGAGCATTATCTCTCTGAAACTGGTTTGACCAGTTACTGGTATCCCGTGGAAGACTTCTGTAGTTTTCATCTTTCTATTCAAAAAGAAACAAAAAGTTGTCTTGTAAAAAAACAAACAAACAAACAAACAGACCTTGCAAATTAATGATGCACCTGGTTTGTCAAAAGTAGCAGAAAAATGATCCTACATATTTAAATTATTTTGATAAGCTTATACGAAATAGCTGATTAAGGACATTTCATCCAAATTAGACCTCAGAAATGGAGTCATATGCCAAGGATGAGGGAGTCTAATGGCTATAGCATGGAAGGCAGCCACACATGTATGTGCACAGAGATGAAAGATACCTACACTCCCTCCCAAATCAACCTCCCAGGCCAAGTATATGGAAAAGAAAACAAAAAGTATTTCTACATAAGATATTTACTATCCCTCAAACATGGCATTTTCTCTTTTCTTCTTCTTTTCAATCTTATAATAATATTGTGAGATGTTTTCTGAAATTTACCAAAAATGTGTAAAACATGGACGACTAATGAATTTCCTTATTTAGATCTTTGTAGTTTATGGCTTTAGGCAAGACAGTTAAGACCCTCTGGGATGTTCTGCTGCATACTTCACAGGCTAGTTGTAAGCATTAATTCAAATATCAAGGAAAAAAATAGTTTATACCAGTACATGGTACATAACAGACACAATTGTTCATCCCAACATGTTTATGACAAGTGATAGCTTTACATAAAAATGTAGTTAGTTAACAAATATTTATTTACTACATCCCAGAACAACCAAATGCTATTGGATGTTTCTTTTAAATAGTAACTTATAAAACTGTGCTTTGGCTTTTGGGCTGTAAAACTTAATTTCAATGTTCTGAAAAGAAATGACAAGGCTAGGCACTCAAAGGTAGTGAACTCAAACATTTCAGTTCAATAACTAAATCTAAATATCTCCTACGAGAACAAATTTAAAATGTTAACCTATGTCGACCCACTCGCATCAGCGTCCCTTTGAGAGAAGGGACTCGCATCACTTTGAGAGAAGCACCAAAATATCCTCCTTCAGAACTCTCTGTTAGGGTAGTCTGGCTGTGCATATTATATACATGATTGGTTCTAATTCTCCATTACTTAAACTATAAGCAGCCAATATAAACACAGAAACAAAAAAGTGTAATGTAATAGGTTTGCGGTGTATACAACTTAGCAATAGACCAGGATGTTGTTTTTTGTTCCTTCATGAGTTCCATCAGATAATAAAACTTAAAAATGAATTGATAGTCTTGAACCTATGCCAACATTGTGACATGTGGGGAAAAAAATGTTTTAATCTATAAATATTTACCAGTATGAATTTTAGCATAAAACTTCATAAGTTTTTTTAATTATCCTATAAAAAATAAATTTTAAAAATCAATATTAGCATTAAACATTAGCAGCAAGTACTTTTTACTAAAAAAAACCTGTACATTTCTGGTTAGTACAGCTCAAGAAAGCTGTAATGGAGCATAACGACAAATGCAAGAGAAAAGCTGGTAAGATTCGGATGCTGCTCCAGGCCCAGAGATTAGGGACTGACCTTGCGTATAAAAACATGGAAATGGTAAAATAAGCAAAGGACGTAGACAAAATCTAAAGAATGAAGGAAATGAAGAAACTAAAGTTGAGTGTATCTCCAAATACTAAGAGCCCCTCCTTAAAACGTGAGCATAATTCAGAACAAAGAAAACCTATCTGTTTCACGATAGTCCATAAACTTACTGAAAAGAAATTCAAATAAGTCATAAAGAGTAAATTTATTAATAATAGACCCTTAAATGTCCACGAAAAGAAGGATTGGAAGTATGGGGAAACACAAGTATAATTTTTATGTCAAGGATCTTGAGACTAACAACCATTGGCAAGGGACCTGATTTTTCCATTCATTTTCGACCTCTAAGGCAATTATTACACCAATTCTTTGCTTTGAAAATGAATAATTAAACAAAAACTATTAAATACCTATTCTGTTTTTCAATAGAAATGTATTTCAGGGAAGCCAACAGTGCCAGTAGATGAGGGAAAGCTTGTCCTTTCAGAAAAATGCCAAATAGGCAAAGTAGATTAATAATTACAAAAATCACCATTTTTAACTCCTAATGAAAAAATTCACTCAGACAAAAATAATCAGTGGATACTAAGACTGTTAAGTAAAAAGTTGATAATGAACTAGATGTATGCACAGTGACCTAATACCATTTGCAAAGGGAAAAATATATCTTTAAAATGAAGAATCCAGATGCCACCAAATTCTCACTTTTCTTGGTTTCAAGAATCCAGGATGCTACCTGTACTTCCTTTGATTCCTGTGAATCTCTGACATTATTCCTCTTCCCTGAAATGGCTCTCGTGGACTCAATCTACGGACTGCTTATTACTCAAAAAGTGTACAATTTCAAAGCCTCCTCCTGGACAACTTCTAGGCAAAGATCACCAATATTAAACTTTTTTCCTAAATTCATGATCTAAATTTCCAACAGGATGTCCCAAAGATACCACAAAATCAATAGACCCAAAGTGAAACTCACATATCAATTCTGGCACCCTTCTGAAAGATAGTCATAATCCTCTTCATCTCTTTCCTCCCTCTCTAAACCCCACAGGTGCTAGGTCTTGGCAATCCACAGTTCTTTACCAAGATTTTACACTCTACCCATCACTCTAGCTCATGATCAACTTGTCTCTCATCTGAACCACAGCAGCCTCTAACTGGATGCTGGCTCAGCCTTATCCTCTCCAACAATGTTCTATGCCACTTCCTACAGAGGATTTTTCTAAAATGTATGTCAGGTCACATCATACCTGGGACACGCACTGGAAGTCACTAGAGGAACCTGCAGACAAATGTGTGCTTGGTGTGCCACAAGCCTCTTCACCTCCACTCATGATCTTTCTGGGTCTCGACTCCCAATGACCTTTTTCCTGCAAAAATACCTACCATTCTTCAACACCCAGTTCAACGGCTACTTTCTCTAAGAAGCATTCCCTGATTCATAATAAAATTACTAATGTCATGTTTTTGTTACCATTATATTCTAATTTTACTACTAATTATAGTTCTAACTTATAATTTAGTTCACTTTTTAATTGCTAGTTCCACTATGACAATAAAACCTAGGCAGATCGGCTTTTACCTTTAAACTCAAGCACTTAGCTCAGTGGCCTATACCTATTGTTGTTTCTTATTTTCACATGGTTTCAGAATATCAACACTTTTAAAAGAATACTTCTACAAGTTGTTTTAAAAGTTGATAAGGGAATGCTTTAAAAGGTATCAAGATAAATTTCAGTGAAAATGTATTCTTACTGAAATGTAATAATTGTACTTTTAGATTTATACTAAAAGATGTATGTCATTGTTATATGACTATTTCAATTTAATGTCACACCTACTACAGTATACAATGTCTGTGGAAAATGTGATTATTTCCAACTGCACCTTAAAAGTGTGACATTTATCCATTTACATCAACTTTAACATGTAATTCATGTAGCAGGCCACTACAGGGTAATCACATAAATGCAAGGGCTACAGATCAAACTGTCCTTTTGAACTCTACCTAAAAAATTCTACAATTTATATTCTCAGAATCAACTCTAAGAAGTTAGCAGATAAAAATAAAACTGACGTTAACCCCTGAAAACGAAAACGTTTCCTAATTCAACATTGTTATGGAAAAATCAATAACAAATTCACATATTAATTTATTTGTGGTATGTGAAAAGTAAACTACAGTAATCTTTGGTCTCTATCAAGTAAGTGAAAAATTTCTAAAGTATGTAGTTAATCACTATGCAACATATACATTATTTTGTTGATAGTATCATGCAGGTATTACTAGCATTTCAGCCATGATCTTGCTGATTATGTATACAGAGAGTATAGTCCTATAAAGCTGCGATTCTCCATTTATGATGTAAGTGCATCAATAAATAACATAACATGAAATATATTTTCTACTTCACAATATATGCTTGAATATTAGCTGTTTCTAATAGAAATGTAATAGCATATTTTGTTTTCAATTTGGAAACATTTTTTTTTAGTATAAGTGATTTTAAAAATATGATAGTCTTTACTATGTCATGGACCAAATTAGAGTCAACTACAAAAAAATGGCAAAATTTTTAAGTTAAATGTATTTGTAAAACTTGTATTTCATAACCTAAAGAAAGGAAAACAAAACCAACAAACTTTTTGCCTTTAATATTTTGCAACAAGAGCTGTATTTGATAATAAACTGGAGAATGTAATTTTAAATTGATTTCATTCTATAATCAAATTAATGCCTCCAATCTGTATATTGGTAAATTTCAAAGCAAAAACAGCAATCTTTTCATTTAGACTTATAAAAATCTATCAGTAGTACCAATACATAAAACCTTAAAGATTATTAAATTTGCTAATGACAAGAAATAATTTATTACAGTAAAGCCAGTACTTTATCTAAAAGATTCTATAAGAAAAATACCATAAGGAATTACTTTTTTTTTTTTTTAATTATAACTTTAATCCTCTACTTATGAGGCTGCCCTAAACAGCCAGTGAGCTTTGCTGCTGGGTGGGAAACTTTTCCTCTTGCCAGAAAAAAACAGATGTTCCTGCTGTGATCAGGGATTTTTCTTATCATCTTAATGTACTGCCATATCATCAGGTGTCAAAAGCCATCCAGGCTGAGAAATGCATATTAATTCGCTGCTCCCTGGAAGCAGTACCCTGGTTATGGAATAAATCTCTTCCAGACTAGGGAAAGTAACTGTCCTTTCTCCCGCTCTCAGCCCTCCCCAAGCCAATTACAATTCAATAAAGTCACACAGAACCCTCCAATGCCTTGGGATAGACGCTTATTCCTGGCATGCTAAGCCGTGGCTCCAAGGCTTTATCTCTCAGAAACAGCTATTTAGCTGATGGTCAGATTTCTTGGCAGCTCACACCACTATGTTGCAGAAATATGGGAATATGTCTTGAATATTACAGAAGTAATGGATATTTCTATATTAGCATAGGAAACGTGGCTATATTTTCGCTGTTTTG